TTGGCACCTGAAATGACGAGGCAGCCCTCCTGCAAAGGGCTCTCCTTATCTCAGGCTGAAATGGTAATTTAATGAGGATTTCAGGGAAAGGAGGTGTTTTTGTGCCCCAATCTGATGCTTGCTTCCAGCAAGCTTTTTCTTGAACAAGCTGGAAAAAGGCAAGGTCACCTTTGCTCAGAGCAATGGAATAAATATATAAAAGAGACACACATGTGAAGAATGGCCTCAATATGCCTCTTAGGTAGTTTTTAGCTGGGTAAAACTGAGCTATAGGGGCCTATGTGAAGGACACCCCCTTCTCCAAGGAGTAGCACGACAATTTTAAAAAATGACAGCATCCTGTTGGAAATTTGCTAGCCCAACACCAGCTGGCAGGGATCCCCCCCCCCCATGTATCCAACCTTGAAAAGAAGATCCAGTTTTAAACAAAAAACCTCCTCTAGAATACAATGTGACTCTGGGGGTGGGATGGGGGGGGACACACACACACTACATATTATATAAGACAAACTACATATTGTTATGGGGAAAATCCATGACGTTCTGGATGTCCCAAAATATTCCTTCTTTTTAAAAAACAAAAATGTTCTGCACGAATTTGCCAGGTTGATTGGAGTGATGGGGCTGCAAAATGAGAGGGGGCCCAGTCCTTCCCCCAGCATCAGGTCTGGGATCAAAACTGCTCCCTGCAATCTGCTGTTTTATACCACAGGGGAAAATATTTTCTTCTTTGCTTGTACAGTGGTACCTCGGGTTAAGTACTTAATTCATTCTGGAGGTCCGTTCTTAACCTGAAACTGTTCTTAACCTGAAGCACCACTTTAGCTAATGGGGTCTCCTGCTGCTGCCGTGGCACAATTTCTGCTCTCATCCTGAAGCAAAGTTCTTAACCCAAGGTAATATTTCTGGGTTAGCGGAGTCTGTAACCTGAAGCGTCTGTAACCTGAAGCTTATGTAACCCGAGGTACCACTGTATGTATGTATGTATGTATGTATGTATGTATGTATTAGCTGCCTTTAAACATAACAATGGTATACTTCACAATATGATTGGGTGCATGCTTCATTTCAAAGAGGTTAGCTCAGAAGAGCAGAGACCCACAAGATGTAACCCAAATGTACACTCCAGACTAAGAATCAGCGGCAGAGCAAGCCAATCGGGCACCTGGGGTGGCGCGCATGCCCTGCGCCTAGGGGCGGGGCCAGCCGGGGAAGGACACTCCATGGGGCCTCCGAGGAGTCTGCCTGCCTCCTCCCATTCAGCCGCCCTACAGCTAAGGGGGAGGCAGTGGGCGGACCATTTGGGGCAGTGCAGAGCATGCGGGCGCCCAAGCCACCACATCACTCCCAGGAGAGACGTGTGGCTCGGGCGCACTGCAGGCCCTGCAGTGAGTGCCGCCTGGCATTTTGTCACCCCCCTCCATGGTGACACCCGGGGCGGCCCGCCCCCCTTCCTCCACCCCTGCTAATAATGTTGGGTGTTTATTTGTTTTTTAAAGTGTGGTCAAGAGCCAAATTATGTCCCCAAATTTGCAGAGAGGTCATGCCTAGGGTGGCATAGTCAGAAGTGGCTGTTGCTATGAAACAGTGTAGTGATTCTATGAAAACACGAAGGCACTATTCAGCCAAATTTAAGGGATGGTGCTTAAGTCTCTCCCATTCAGTGAGATGAAATTAAGTACGTTTCACCTGATTGTGCCTTTGGCTACTTTTAATATATATGCTTAGTTGTTTTTATTTTTAACTGAGCCCCATTCTAACCAGTATAAAATTACATGCAGAGACATAAGGGGATCTAAGCTCACAAAACTGAAGAGCAAGAATCTCTTGTATAGCAGATCCTTCCCACCCTCAGTAGAAGTACTGTTAATAAAAATAAAGTACACTTTCTGGATAAAACCATAGATCTTATCTGCTAGGTGATCTCATGCCTTTATTCAGACTGATTTTCCCCTGGGAGATGGAAACCATAGACTAACAAGCAAAACATTAAAAAAGAAAACCAAAAACTTACTCTTGCTTCCAGACCAGCCCAAATACTGTTTTCACAAGATTAGCTCACTTCCAAATCCTTGGTACTATTTTTGGCATCCAAACCTACTGAAGTCTGCCAATTCTCTCTAAGTGACAGTGCACTGAAATTTGCTCTTGTTTTACAACTACTTCATCTTGCGCTAAGGATTTCCATACAAGAGAGAGACAGTACTTTTGCTGGGTACTTAGATGATTTACTTGCACTTCATCACTCAGACATGGCTTTTTGATAAAATGGCTAATATTGCAATCCTTCTTTACATATGAAAGCAGAAGGAAGTTCCACTTAGTTCAATGGAAGCTTTTCTGAGCTAAGTATGTATGGGACGGAAGCCTAAAATTCTCTCAGAGGGCTGAGAGTTTTTTGTGTGAAAGCCTCAGAAAGTCGTAATATATTACCAACTATGACAAGTGCTACGTTATGCTATCAGTGACATGCCATCCTTCTTGTTCAATCCTGTCAGGAGTGTCTCTGACAGCATTCATCTCGGGAATTTAGAGAATGCTAAATTTTATCAGTAATTCTTCAGAACTGAAAGGTCTAGGAGGAAGTGTCAGAAAATTTGTGGTGGTGGTGGTTGTTAAAATTTGTATACCGCCCTTCATCTACAGATCTCGGGGCAGAATTATCACACTGACCAGCGTTTCTCCAGTATTTTCCAATCCATGTCCATAACTTAGGGGATGCTGTCTCCATACAGACACATAAATACTGGACTAGTGAATGACAGTGTCTGGGCAGCTTTCTCCTCCAGCAGTGACTGACACTGCAAGAGTCTTCAGGGTGAAAGCCTAAGGTGATCTCACATTGTGAGCAACTGATAGGGAGCATAGCAACCATGAGCAATGAAGGGGGTGTTCTTCGATTGTTGATCAGCAGTTTAATGGAAAAGATGGTTAGGCGCTCCTATTCTCTGCTATCCTTTTTTTAATGACGCCTGACATAAATAGTTAAATAAGACATTTTGCTGCCTGAGGGAGGCCACTCTGTCGGATAGCCTGGAATGCCAACTGGACATGCAGCTGAATCTTACTTCTACATCAGCAATGGGGCAGCATTCTCCACCACACTTGTGGGCAGCAGGCTAGCTCAGGGGGTACAGGGCTGGCTCTGTGCCTGACACACACAGCTCTGTTTTCTAAAACTGAGGGATGCCTAAGCGGGGCTCAGAAGGAATGGCCAGGAGGCTGCTGCCATTGCTCCTCAGTCTAGAATCTGTTGTCTGAAGTGGCTGCCTCACTCTTCTAATGCAGGGATAGCCAAGCTAATACCTTCTGGGTGTTACTGAACATCCATGGCCATTTGACTTGCTGTATGGGACTGATGGGAGTCTAATAATATCTGAAGGGCACCATGTTGTACCTAATGGAAAGGCTGGCCCTGCTAACTACCTGAAACCTCAGCCTAACAATGAACTAATTTCTGTTTTCCTGGTTCCTTTTCAGTGCAGAAAATTGTATTTTGACTCACGTTGAACTGCTGCCTTTGCCTAAAGCAGAACAGTCATATATTTGGCCCAGGCTTAAGACTCAAACTTCCAACATCTGCAGCTAATTTTCATTCAGTATCATATGTTTCAGCAATATCTTGCTTTCAACATGATTCCGTAACTGGGCTGAATGCAACAAAGGGAGATCAAAATTAAAATGGCAGGGGCACTTTACAAACGCTTCCCCTTTATTCTCTCTGTATGTCAGCCATCTGACGGCCTACTCAGTAGTGGCACCCTGGCTGTGAAATGCTCTTACCAGGAAGGCTCACTTTGCCCCTACTTACATTTCATTAAAGTGCCAGGCAGAAGCGTTTTATTTTCCTAGTCTTTTTTTAAAAAAAACATCTTTGCATTGTTCTATTTCTACTTTGTTTTATTGCTCCCAATGGTTTTTATACTGTTCTTTTATACAATGGTGTTTTAAACCATCAGCTTTTACAATATGTTTTATTGTAATCTTAACTTTTTGCAGGCCACATAGTGAAGACAAAGAAGTAAAAAGTGGGCATGAGTGGAAAAGCAAGTGGGAAAGACAGAAGGGGGCAGGCAAACCCTCCAACATTTCTCCGAGGAAAATAGGGACGTCCCATTCCAAAATGAAAATTTTACTATTTATACCCCACACTTCTTATTGGGTTGCCCCAGCCACTCTGGGCAGCTTCCAACATACATAAAAGCATAATAAAACATTAAACATTTTTTTAAAACCCTTCCCTATACAGGATTGCCTTCAGATGGCTCAGGAGTTGGATAACTCCATAATCTCCATAACATTTCTCCAATGAAAATAGGGACATCCTAAGGAAAAGCGGGACATTCTGGGATAAAGTCAGACACTAGGATAGCTTCTCTAAATCAGGGACGTCCCTGGAAAATAGGGACACATGAAGGGTCTGAGCAGGCAGGACAATCAAGAAGGCTTCTTCCTTATCTTGCCTCCTTCATGTATACATCTGCCTTTCTCCTCCATCTAAAATACCTGTGGATGAATGGAGATCTGGTACCTGTGGTGCTGTGCAGGGCAGATGGCAGCTCCCAGGAGTCCAGCTTTGCCTCAGGGGCTGCCAGCTGCTATCAGTTACTTTCACAGTCCTGCTTTTGGCAGAACTGAGAGTACGATAGAGTGGGACTGCTTATAATGGGAAGGACACTTTCAGGAATAAATATATGTCCAGTGCGTCTTCTGACCCCCCATGTAATACTGACCCCCCGCTTGATCATTGATCCTGGCTGCAAGTTCAGACAAATGTGATGTGGGCATATCGTATGTTGTTGGTATCCTGCAGGTAGTAGCTGAATCCAGTCAGTGAGCAGGGGCAGGGGTGGAATCTATTGCAGAAATGGTTCAAGACACCTCACAAGATCTATTGGATTTGTTGCAAGACCTGCCTCCAATTTTTTTTTTAATTTTTTGCCTCCAAAATTTTTTACACACACACACACACACACACACCTTTAAGAATGTTGTTTTACCTTATGGAGGAGGTTGGACTCTCCCTGGTTCCCATCCTCATCTCCAGAACTTTTCTGTTCCTCATCTGATGTGACGTCTTCAATAGGAATCACAGAGATAGGGCACACCTTGTAAGGTTCTGTGTAGGCACTGTGGACAGAGGAAAGCAAGTTATTCTAAGGACATGATGATAACAAGAGAAGCTGCATGCAACAGATTCTAGATTCTGGTCCTCTATCACTATGCTGAGTCTGAGTGCTAGGAGCTTTGTGCCATATTGTAAATTGCATCATCCTGCTAGATTCTACTACCTACAAATTCATATTCTATGTCAGTCATTTCGGTGTTGTAGAGAAGTTTGATGTCAAGCAGGTCCCGGTGTGTGTGTGTGTGTATTTTAACAGTGAATGGCAGAAGAAAAGTAGACTATTCCACCTTCTTCATAAAGCAGTGAGGCATTCACAGAACAACCACTTTGAGTCCTACATTGCAGGGGGTTGAAGTGTTAGAGGACATTCGGCACAGAAACATGTGTGTATACCTTTAAGAAGTTTCTGGGATTAATTGGCTGCAGGTGACCGTTGCTATAAAGGAAAAAAGCTGAGCTTTGTTGCCTGCCTGCAGGAATAACACCCACCAGAGTTTGTGTTTATTTGCTTAGTAATAAAGTCTTCGTTTTAGTTTGGGTTTTTACACCTATGTCTCCTGGAGTCACTCTGTCCTCTGCCACCAGCTGGAAATCCCCCTCCAACAGGTTATGGGCCCAGTCCCCAGTCCTGAGTGGGCAGAGACAGAGCGTGAAAAGAACCCAGAGACTGGAAGCAACTCAGCGTTTCTCAAGCAGCTGGCTGTGTGAAGGCATCGGCAGGGAGTGTCTGTTTGGGACCAGGAGCCGAACATTTCTTCAAGCCACGTGTGAGTAAGGACTGAGTGGAAAGCTGAAAGCTGGGTGGCGCCATGGCTGGACTTGGAGCTGGAGCTCAAGGGGGAGCTTCCTATTTTCCAGTAGAGAAACTGGGAGAGTCCAATTATATGTCATGGAGTTTACAGATGCAGGCGTTTTTAAAGAAAGAACAATGTTGGACTGTTATTGTTAACCCTCCTGTAAAAGAGGAGGATGAAGAAGTAGATGAAGCAGACCAAAGGCTGGAGGACAAAGCCTATGCCAATTTAATTTTGAGTTTAGAGAAGTCTCAGTTATCTCATGTGCGAGACCTTGAAACAGCAAGTGAGATTTGGCAAGCACTGAGAGCGATACATATTAGAGACACTGCTGGCAGCAAAATTACTCTAACGAGAGCTCTGTACCGAGCCAGACTAAGTGAGGGTGAATGTGTTTCAACACACCTTCAAAGAATGCGTGATTTATTTTCACAGTTAAATGAACTTGGGGAACATTTTTCTGAACAGAGAAAAGTTTATATTGTGCTGTCTTCACTTCCTGAGTCATGGGACAATTTAGTGATGACTCTGGAAGCAATCCCAGAAAGCCAATTAACAATGCATTTCTTAACTGGGCGTTTGCTTGATGAGGAGGAAAGACGCCATGAGAGGAAGGCCACAACCCCTCACCGTAACTCCAGAAATGGGAGGCAGTCCAGTAAAAGATATGCAACTGATGAGGAGCGGCAACCTAAAGAGGTTGTAGACCACAGAGAGGAAGCAGCGTTCACAGTTAGAAGATGCTATCGTTGTGGGTCAACCAAGCATTTAGTACGACAGTGCACTGTGTCTGTGGGAGAAAATACAAGACAAGGGCGGCCTGCGTTTGCTGGGAAGCGAGGAGACAGGAAGAGTCGAGTCCAGTATGTTTCTGCAGCAGTTCGAGGCACCAGTCACGACGATGGACAAGACTGGATTTTAGACTCAGCAGCGACAAACATTTTTGTTAAGTCTGCACAAACCCTTGTAGAAAAGCAGCCTTGTAAATCTGTAAATGTAGTACTAGCTGATGGAACAGTGCATGAGTCAGCTGGAAAGGGTAGTGTGAATATCAACTGTTTAAGTACCAAGTTTACCAATGTTTTATGTGTACCAAGTTTAGAAAATAATTTGCTTTCAGTAACAAGTCTTGTTAAGCAGGGATTTAAAGTAACCTTTTCTGGTTCAGGCTGTAGAATAGAGAAAGCTGGAAAAGTGGTTACAGCGTCACTACAAAATGGTTTGTTTGTTTTGAAAGACCAGCTAGTAAGTGAGTCTGGGGCATGTGTTAAAGCCTGTAATAGAGCCTTGCATGATGAGTGCCAGCATCTGTGGCATCGTCGTTTGGGGCATGCCAATTTCCGCAGTATTGCAAAAATGCCAGAATTAAGCAAGGGAATTAAAATGAAAAAATGTTCAGTTTTTCTAGACTGCAATACCTGCAAGGAGTCTAAAAGTAAGCGAGGGTCTTATCCTGAAAGTACTAGAATTAGCAAGAGGCCATTTGCTTTAGTACATTCAGACCTTTGTGGGCCATTTGCAGAGTCTGAAGGAGGAGCAAAGTTTTTTTTGGTTCTTGTGGATGATTATAGCCGGTATACTTGGGTATATTTGTTAAAACACAAAAGTGAAACTGGTCAACTGATTAAGAATTGGGTCAACTATATAGAAAGGCAGTTTCCCTACAAAGTTACCCAGTTGCAAAGTGACCGTGGAGGCGAGTTCATGTCTGAAGCCCTCCAAGTTTGGTTGAAAAAGCGTGGTATTAGTCACCGTAAATCGTGTCCTTTTTCGCCTGAAGAAAATTCAGTTGCAGAACGCAAGATAAGATCTTTACAAACAATGCTAGATTCAATGCTATGTGATTCTGGCCTATCCAGGAAGTATTGGGGGAAGGAATTCTGTGTGCTAACTACATACAGAACAGATTGTTTCATTCTACCATAAACAACACCCCTCATTTTTTGCTTTATGGAAAAAAACCCTTTTTGGACCATGTTAAAACTTTTGGTTGCTGGGCTTGGGTTCACATCCCAAAAGGACAGAGAAGGAAAGGAGAGCCCAAGGCAAAGAAACTTAGGTTTGTTGGCTATCAAACTTGGTCAAAGGGGTATCGTTTTGCACTAGGGCGTGGCAGAGTTGTAATATCAAGACATGCAGAGTTTTGTGAGCAAGATGGTTGGGTTCGTTTACATGGAAATTCAGAAGTTGTGTTATCTTCTAATGATACAGATAAATTTGTGAAATCTGAGGAAGAAAAGCCACAAATTAAAGAAAGTTCTGAAAGTGACAGTGATGAGGATTCAGGGGATGAGGATCCCAGTACACAATCTCCTAAAGCTGAACCAATTTCTCCTGAGCAGGATAAATCAGAAGGGGAAGATAGTTCAGAGGGGGAGAGTGTTCAAGTTAGAAGGTCACAAAGAAGCAATAAGGGGGTACCTCCAGAAAGGTTTACTATACAAGAAGCTAAAACTGTTGATGTGAAAAAGGAACCTCGTGATTATGAGGAAGTTTTAAAGTTACCACACCAGGAAATAGTAAGGTGGAAAAATGCAATGAAAGCAGAAATGAAATCTTTAGCAGAACACAATGTCTTTACCATTGAGCCATTGCCAGAAGGAAAAAAGGCAGTGGGCTGTAGATGGGTGTATAAAATAAAACATTTGGCAGATGGTGATGTTAAGTACAAAGCCAGACTGGTAGCACAAGGCTTTACTCAAAGAAAAGGTGAAAGCTTTGATGAAACCTTTTCTCCTACTGCAAGGAGTGAAAGTGTACGTTTATTGCTAGCTCTTGCAGCACAACGTGGGTTTAAGGTAAACCATTTTGATATTGAAACAGCTTATCTTAACGCAAATCTGCAAGAAGAAATTTTTATGAATCAAGCGCCAGGTTTTGAGGCAGGAGAACAGAATTCTGTATATAGGCTGAACAAAGCAATTTATGGGCTCAAACAGTCAGCTAGAAATTGGAACGAATGTCTTGATAATGCTTTAAAAAATCTTGGCTTTAAAAGAAGCTTAGCTGATAACTGCTTGTACACTAAAGGAAAGGGTGATAAACAAGAATTGTGTTTGTGTTATGTTGATGATTTGCTTTACTCTACAAAAAGTGACAAGCAAGTGGAAAAATTTGCAGAACAACTAAGAAAGGAATTTAAAGTAAGAGATTTGGGTCCAGTAAAAAATTATCTCGGTTTAGAAATTCAAAGAACAAACGATGGAAGTTTTTTGTTGAGTCAAAAAGACAAAATAATGGAGTTACTTGAAAGAAACAATATGCAAAACTGCAAGGGAGTAAAAACCCCAATGGAAATAGGTTTTTTCAAAAATGAAGGAGAATGCACAGAACCTGTAAATCCTGAAATGTACCATTCAATAATTGGAAGTTTATTATACATTTCATTGTGGAGCAGACCAGATTTGAGTTATGCAGTTGGAATACTAAGCAGACTAGTAAGCTGTCCTACAGAAAATGCCTGGAAAGGTTTAAAACGTATTTTCCGGTATCTAAAGCAAACACTTGATTATTGTTTAAGATTACCATCTTCAGGTTCCACAAAATTGCAGTGTTACGTTGACAGCGATTGGGCCAACCTGCCTGATAAAAAATCAATTTCTGGAATGGTATTTCAATTTGGAGATTCTTTGATAGGTTGGAAATCCAAAAAACAAAGTATAGTGGCCACATCATCAACTGAGGCCGAATACTGTGCATTGTCGGAATTATGTAATGAAGTAAAATTTTATGTTCAGATCCTCAAGGATATAAACGTACAGTGTGATTATCCCGTTCAAATTATGGAAGATAATCAAGCCGTAATAACTTTGTCTGGATCTGACCAGTTTAGAAACAAATCAAAGCATTTAGAAATTAAATATCAAAATGTAGCTGAAAATGTAAAACAGAACCAGATAATGCTGAAGTATTGTGAAAGTACACAAAATGTGGCGGATGTATTTACAAAAGCGTTAACTTTTGAAAAACATGCACGACTGGTAGCAAAGTTGGGAGTTGCTGTGTGTGATATGTAAATATGTTCTGTTCTGTTTAAAATACTATTGTTTCTGTTTGAATGAGAGGGGGTGTTAGAGGACATTCGGCACAGAAACATGTGTGTATACCTTTAAGAAGTTTCTGGGATTAATTGGCTGCAGGTGACCGTTGCTATAAAGGAAAAAAGCTGAGCTTTGTTGCCTGCCTGCAGGAATAACACCCACCAGAGT